CCACTCACCTCAGCCTCCCAAGGCGCGGGATTACAGGCTGAGCCACCGAACCCGGCTTAAATGAAGTTTTAAAGATTTCTTTTTTAAGAAAAATACTTGGTTTTGGTGGATTATAATATACAATTTTCCCCCAAAAAAACTGGAATTATCTTTTGGAGAGCAGGACCCTTGCAGAGGCTTCCTCCACTTGGTAAGTGTTCTAGGAACCCATTTGCATCAGTGTGCCAACTGGCATTGTTGTGAGAGCCTGCACTCATCTTCAGTGGAGATTCTCTCAACATGTTTTCCCATTTCATGATGGGTGATTTACACAAACAACTTGCCCACACCACATTGATTGTTCAGTGACCAAAAACTGCATGACCCCCATGCCCTACTCTCCCTATTCACCCAATCTCACATCAAGAGATCCAATGTTTACTTTTATTTTCTATCTTGATAGATTAATGGAAATATAAGAACTGAATAAAATATGTAAGGTAGTATAAATATCTATTTGTATGTGAGGAAAATAGTCTTAAAACATATGAGGACCTTGATTTTTGTCTTTTCTTTTTTTTCTCGCTAAATGCAGTAATCTCATTTTTTAACCTTTTTAATGCAGTATCGACCTTCCACCCACACATAAACCACCTCCTGTGTATGAAGAACAATCCCCTCCTTTGCCTCAGAAAGACTGTCTATATCAGGTATGTGTTCATGGTTACACTTCAAATAATGTAAAATACAATAAAATATAAACTTTATGCTATTACTAATTATGTAATGATATTTAAATATTTTAATTTTAATATAATCTTTACATATAATTAATAATTTATATTTCATTCAAAATGTTATCTAATCATTAACATTAAGTAGTACATAATAATATATAATTCTTAACATGCACAGTCATTTCTCTGAAATATTTAAGGGATCAAATTTTGTGTACAATCGAGCAAGAAAAATTATGGCCAGTATAGCTAAGACAAATAAACATTATATTAGGCTTTTTACTAAAAACTTGTGGTTGAAGACATATATTATACAGAATTGTTGACATATGGATTTATTGTAAAATATGCAATTTATGTAAAATAAAAGTAGAAAAATTTTTACATAAAATTCTCCTTGGAAATTATTATTACTAATATTCTCTACTTGGTATTTGAGAAAGTTTAAACTCTCAAAATATTTAAATTTTTTTATTCTCAAGTTTAATGTTTTTGTTTTTTTCTATCATCCATTTAACATATTGGAAATAAAGCCCCTTTACCAGGAATTTACTCCTGCTGAAAATAGTCTGTAATATTTTCTTCCTACAATATATCCTTTATGTTTAGCCTGAATAAGGCAAATAGTTTGCCCGTTAATCGTTGATTTAATTTGTTGGAAAAACTTCATGGTGTTTTCAGCTTTTGTTCCTTAGCTGTCCATATTGTCAGTTTGCTGCCTCAGCATGGGGTAGGAAGGAACATTCCCAAGCATATACATCCATTGTTGGTGGACACCCGCCTTGTCATCTTACATAGTTAGGTGTCTTAAGGGTTAAAATGTACTATAGGGTTGGTTCCATGTTTTTGCTTTTGTGAATAGTACAACAATAAATGTGTTTGCAGGTGTCTTTTTGGTAGAATGATTTATGTTCCTCTGGGTATATTTCCAGGAGAAGGATCATATGGAAGGTCAATTTTTAGTTTTTTTAGGAATCACCACCCTGCTTTCCATAGAGGCTGAATTAGCTTGCACTCCCACACAGTGTAAAAGCATTCCCTTTTCTCCACACCTGAGCCAACATCTGTTGTTTTTTGACTTAATGATAGCCATCCTTACCAGAATTAGGTTGTATCTTATTGTCATTTTGATTTTGCATTTCTCTGATAGTTAGTGAGGCTGAGAATTTTTTCATGTGCCTGTTGGCTCATTGTATGTCGTCTTTAGAGAAGTGTCTGTTCATGTCCTTTGCCCACTTTTTAATGGAGTTGTGTTTTTCCTTTTACTTCATTTGAGTTCCTTGTAGATCCTGGGTGCTAGGCCTTTGTCAGATGCATAATTTACAAATTTTTTTTCCCATTCTGTGGATTGTCTCTTTACTCTCTTGATGGTGTCTTTTGCTGTGCAAAATCTTTTCAGTTTGATGATGTCCCACTTGTCTCTCTTAGCTTTTATGGCTTTCATTTTAGGGAACTTGGTCAAGAATTCATTGCCTACACTCCAGTGTGCCTAGGGGTGTTTCCTACGTTTTTGTTTTGGTTTTTTTTCTCTAGGATTCTTATGGATAGATGTTTTACATTTACATCTTTGAGCCATTGTGAGTTTATTTTTTGTATGTGGTGGTAGGTAGGAGGTCCAGTTTCATTCTTCTGCATGTGGTGAGCCTGTTTTCCCAGCACCATTTGCTAAATATGTTCTCCTTTCCTCAGTGATTGTTATTGGTGGCTTTGTGGAACATAAGTTGGTTGAGAGACCGTGTTTTTGTTTCTGGAATCTCTGTCCTGTTGATAGATCTGTGTACCGACTCTTGTATCATTGGTCAGTGTGCCACAATACCAGGCTGCTTTGGCTAACTGTAGCTTTGTAATCAAGTTTAAAGGATGGAGGTGTGATACCTTCCACTTGTTCTTTATTCTGAGGATTGTTTTCACTGCAAGGAGGCTTCTGACAGATTCATTAGGGTTTTCAAGGTATATTTATATCATCCACAAAGAGGAATAGCTTAATTTCCTCTTTTTCTATTTGGATACCTCTAGATTTCCTTCTCTTGCCTGATTACTCTGGCTAGGACTTCCAGTACTATGTTAAACAAGAGGAGTGAGAGTGGACATCCTTGTCTTGTCCCCTTTCATAGAGGGAATACTTCCAGCTTCTCCCCATTGAGCAAAATGTTGGTTGTAGGTTTATCATAGATGGCTCTTACTGTTTTGAGGAATGTTCCTTACTATGCCTGGTACTCAAGGGTTTTTATCAAGAAGTGATGCTAGATGTTGTCTAGTGCTTTTTCTGCATCTAATTATGTGATCATGTGGTTCTTGGTTTTGCATGTGCTGAATTATGTTTATGGTCTTGGAAGTGTTGAACCAGGTCTGCATCCCAAGAACGAAGCCCACCTGGTCAGGGTGAATGATCCTTGAGATATGTTGTTGGATCAATTTGTTAGAACCTTGTTGAGATTTTCTCCATCAATTTTCATCAAGGAGATTGGCCTGTAATTCTCTTCTTCTTGAGTCTTTGCCAAATTTGGGTTATCAGTATGATGTAAGCTTCATAAAATGAGTTGGGAAGAATTCCATCTTTCTTCATTGTCTGGAATACTTTCTCTAAGATTGGTGTCAGCTCCTCCTTGATAATTTTGTTGAATTTAGCTGGGAAGTCATCTGATCTTGGGCTTTTTCTGGTGGAGAGATTTTTTATGACTGAATCAATTTCCTGGATTGTTATTAGTCTGTTTAGAGTTTCAGTTTCTTCTTGTCTCAACCTTGGGAGGTTTGTGTGATATTAGAAAGTTCTCCATTTCCTTTAGGTTTTCTGGTTTTGCATACATATGTTCATAGTAATCTCTGGTAATCTTTTGAATTTCTTCAGGGTCAGTTGTGACTTCACTTTTTTTCATTTCTTACTGTGTTTATTTGGAGTTTCTCTCTCTCTCTCTCTCTCTCTCTCTCTCTCTCTCAAGTCAATCTGGCTGGGGGTCTGTCAATCATATTCTTCAAAGAACCAGTTTTTTGTCTTGTTGATCCTTTCTGTGATGTTTTTGTCTTAAATGTCTTGCAGTTGTGATTTTTATCTTGGTGACCTGGTTTCTTCTTCAGAAGTTAAGATTTAGATGAGTTTGTCTTTCTAGCTCACTCCCTTACATGTGACATTGTTAGGCTGTTTACCTATCATCTGTTTCTGTATGTGTGCTTGCAATGCTATGAATTTTCTTCCTATCACTGCTTTCATGGCATCCCAGAGATTCTATTGTGTCTTTGTTTTCTTTTGTTTCCAGGAATCTTTTTATTTCTGTCTTGAATTCTTTGTTGACCGAGAAGTCATTCAGCAGCATGATGTTTAGTGTCCATGTCTTTGTATGTTTAGGGGGATCTTGTTAGTGACAATAATTATTTTTATTCCACTGTTATCTGAGAAGATACGTAGCAATATTTTGATCTTTTGAAATTTGTTCATGCTTGATTTATTTATGTACAAGAATGTTATCAATCTTGGAGTATGATCCAGGTACTGATGAGTAGAATGTATACTCTGTAGATGTTGGGTGGAATGTTCTGTAATGTCTATTAAATCCATCTGATTGAGCATTGAGTTAAGGTTCTGGATCTCCTTGTTGGTTTTTTTGCCTCAATGGTCTATCTAGAACTGTTAGTGGGTATTTAGGTCTCAAACTATGATTGTGTGAGTCAATGTCCTCTCTTAGTTTACTTAGTAGTTGTTTTATAAAGCCTGGTGCGCCTGTGTTGGGTGCACATGTGTTTATGATGGATATTTTTTGCTGGCGGATTGAGCCTTTAATCATTATGTAGTATTCTGTGTTCTTCTTAAGTTTTGATGGTTTGAAGTCTATTTTGTCTGACATCAGAATACCTACTCCTGCTTTCTTCTGTTTTCCGTTTGCCTGAAAGACCATTTTCCAGCCCCTGGGTTTGAGCCTGTGGATGTCCTTTGCCTTGAGATGAGTTTCCTGGAGGCAGCAGACTGTGGGATCGTGCTTCTTCATCCAGCTTGCCACTCTGTGTCTCTTCAGTGACTCATTTTGTCCATTCACATTCAAATTGATTATTTTAATGTGAGAGTTTATTCTTGTCATGGAACTTTTGGGAGTTGCTTTGCTTCTTTTTTCCTTTTGTATTTATATATATGTATATTTTTATTTTTGTGAGTGCTCTGTATGCTGTCTTGACTCTGTGCTTGCCTGTGATGGATATGACCGTTCTTTGTTTTTTTTAAGATTGGACACCTTCTGTCTTGTAGTGTTTCTGCAGACAAGTCTAGAATGATTCTGATAGGTCTTTCCTGGTAGATATTGTGATTTTTCTCTCTTGCTGCCTTTAGTATTTGTCTTACATACTTGCTTTGTGGAAGCAGATTACTATGTGTCTTGGAGATGGTGTTCTCACTGATACCTTGCAGGGGGTTTCTGAAACTCTTGTGCTTGAAGGGTCACCTCTTTAGCAAAATGGAGGAAGTTTTTTTGGATGACTTTTGAAATGCTTGTTCCATTATGTTCTCAGTTTCCCTTTCTGCTTCAGGGATACTGGCTTCAGGCATTGATTTGTCTTCTTCACACAGTTCCATATCTCTCAGAGGCTTTGCTCCATTTTTTGAGCTTTTCTTTTATGTTTTTGACAGGCTGAGTTAATTTCATATTTTGGTCTTCAAACTCTGAGATTCTTTCCTCTGCTTGGTGGATTCTACTTCTTTTGCTTGTTACTGTGTTTTTAATTTCTAAAATGAAGTCTTTTGTTTCTATTACGTAAGAATGGGTTTTTCTGAAATTGCCCAACTCCATTTTTCCTTCCTGTACAACTTAGGTGAGTTTTGCTTCTAGTTTCTCTTGGTTCTCTCTGTTCATTTTTGCCATCCAATCCCTGATTTTTATGACTGTCATCTGAGGCAGGTCATTCGGGTACGTTTCCATTATTTGTACTTTGATAGCTGCTTTTTCAGGTGCTGACTCCTAGGATTGATGGTTGCCTGTATTATTTTAATC